GCAAAGGGCACTCCTGCTGTTATTCTCAGCAACTATTTTTTTCCAAAAATGATACTTTGAACAAAATGATAATCAAGTCAGAATAGGGGAATTTGACTAGATATATATTTAACAGAATAGATTCTACTAAGTTTTACTGATTTTCTCAGCCATCTGATTCCTAAAGATTCTGCTTTCATCAACCATCTTCCCATAGCTACCTGTTTCTAAGATACCGATTCTGAAGAAATGTTGACAGCCAACAGTTAAATGAGGCAGTTTTGTAACACAGGATGATGGCTGGGGTCATACATTCCCTGAAGGTATAATTCTTTTAAACCAGGTTTGTGGATTGAACTATAGCTGGCTGAATTCACGCATTTTTAAAAAGTAATATTTCCCTGGTTAGATATATGCCATGAAGTAAACCACATGATGGGCCTAATGCAGTATACAGATCTAGTCAATTTACTGATAAGCTGACATATAATCCAAAACGGAAAACAATAGCTTTGCACTGGCGGTTCACACACAGAAATGGCACTAATAATCACAAAATTTTGCAGATCAGAAGCTAGGATGAGCCTAGTTTCCCAATATCTAACATTCTAAAGCAGAGAGACAAAAGCCACGATAGCTAAAAATGATTCCAAGGCATACGAATTATCCCAGGCACGTGTATTTTCCAAACTGCCTTTCTGTACAGAAAGTCACCTTAATCACAACTGCTAAAATTGATGACACAATCACTATTTTGTGATAGGGATGAACATTCTAATACCTGCCCTAAAATAAGCAAGCTGCAATTAAAACCAAAGGACCAATTTCAAATGCACTCTTGCTCATATGAGATGGACCCACCAAATCTGTGGCTCCCAATTCCTCCACTCTGCCAATGTTTTATTCTACGTACTGTACCGTCATAAATCATGGTTTGTAAGCCAAAATGCTTCAGTTCGTACGACAAAGGTGAAACCAAAAGCACCATCTTTGGCTTAGCAGTGGGTTGTTCAAACCTGGCAACTTTTAAGATTTGTGGACTTCCAAAGTCTTAAAAGTTGCCAAGTTTGGAGATCCCGACTCAGCATGATGTATAACTTCCTCATGCCATTTCAAGAACCATGTGTAGTGAAACCTAATGGGGATTATGGCCATTTTACTCCTTGGAAATTTGTCACCATTTCCTTCTGCAATGTGAAACCTGTTAGAATTAGCCATGTTACAAGGAAAAATTAAATTACTCCCTGGCATTTGACCATCCTGGCATATAATCTAATGAAAGGGGAAAAAATACCACATTATCCCTTGAGGATAGAGATCGATCTCCACTGTTGATCACCTGAAGGTCATCAGTGAATCCCTCACATTAGCTAGGGGTAACTAGAATGGTTTCTACGAGATGTTTACTATCATCAGAAATTAGCGTGTATAGGACAAAGGAGGCTGTTTATACAACACAATTTCTGCATTCAGCCTGCTTGCACAGAACAGAGCTTGGATCTGCTAACAGCAATCTAGGCTTCAATGAGTCACTAAGATCTATAATACACGACTACATTTTCTCTTCCTTATGGCCCTCCAAGGCAGAACTCAATGCCATTCTTACCTACCTTATTCACACCTCAAAATTCTCATATCGGGATGCCTGCCACAAGCAGATTAACTTCTGGCCTGTTAGTGTGAAGTGATTAGCAAGCTGAGCATCCGGAACTTGGAAATACTAAGAGTTGCTCAACACAAGCTGAATCAGGAAAAGATTGCAACAGTAGATACAACGAATGACGGGTAGCCCTCTACTTAGTTTGTTTAGTGACCATTTGAAGTTAGAATGGCACTGAAAAAAGTGACTTATGACCATTTTTCACACTTATGACTGTTGCAGCATACCTGGGGTCAAAATTTGGACACTTGTCAATTGGCTCATATTTACGACAGCTGCAGTGTCCTGGGGTCATGCGATCACCTTTTGAGACCTTCTAACAAGCAAATTCAATGGGGAAGCCAGGTTAACAACCATGTTACTAACTTAACTGTGGTGATTCAGTTAACTGAGACAAGATAGGTTTTAAAAAGGGGCAAAATTCACTCAACGGCCAACCTGCTTAACAGAAATGTTTGGCTCAATTGTGGTAGTAAGTCAAGGAAGGACTAACTACACTCCATTGTGCATTATATCATATGCATACAACTATCTCCTTGGATAGAGTCCACTTTCCGCTACAGTAAAAAATTAAAAAGTATTTTGTATTTCTGCATTGAGGGTTTTCTGAGGGTGGAGGGGCAGCACCAGAGTCTAGTAGTAGACAGATGTTCTAAGTCTTTAGAAATGGCATCAGTATGAATAGCCTGTCCCCTTGGGGGCAGGCCCAATGGTTTCAGTTCAAAGATGCAAGCTGCTGCTATCAAATCATTAGTGATGATCGTAAACTGCAAAAGTCAACCTGAGGTTTTACTGCTTTGCAAATTTCCATTAACAATTAAGTCACATGAAAAAGGCAGCAAAAAGGCTTAAAGAAGTTACGTGGCAAAAATAGACCTGGAAGTTTAAAGCTGGCTCTTTTTTCACCCCTTTTTTCAATTCCTACAAGATCAATTAAGCTGGTTTGAACTGCGGTGGCAAACACAAAAGACCGCATGGTTCCAATGAGGGCAGCTCAAGTTCTCATTTCCATTCAGTCACAATGAATGCCTCAAGCTAGCCAGTCTCACAACTAAATTTATCCCAACACCCCTACAGAGGAAAGAGAAATAAAAAAATTATATTCAAAGATGATTTGAATGCACAGTAATCTTTGCAGGAAAAGAGATTCTCCAGAGAAGATACCAATAATTGAATTTTATCTAAGATGTAACAAAAAAAGTACAAAGTGACAAGTTAGGCACAATTTGTACAGTATCTTCAAAATGAAAAAGCTACAAGGTCTTCAATTAAATCTAAGGGAAAGTATATTTCAGAAGACTGCCATGTAAGTATTCATTTTAAGAGAACTGTGTGAATTTTGTATTAATACTGACAATCTGGCATATTGTGGTTTGAGCTTAGCGTGGCACTATCAACCCAGCCAAATCTGGTTTAATAAAACTAAGGTTAAACTGGCTTAGCAGGATAGATGAAGGCCGCCACTGGGAGGTTTCTTTATCCGAAGCAATAATTTAAAACTGTGTCCACCAATCCCTGTTATAACACAGCACATAATTGTAACGTTATCGCAACCCATCTGGAAGATGACAAGACCAGAAAGGCTTCAAGGAAATTTATAGATTGTGCACCAACAGTTGCAACATTCTCATTATCCTAAAAAACTAAGATGTGACTCTTCTGGATTAACCCCCAGTTTCGTACAATGAAGGCAGCATAAAGGTAGAAGTGAAGCTGCAAGAGCAGTAAGGCTACCAGTTTCATTTTATCAGCCGCTTAGGATTATTTCATCAAGCAGGCACAAGATCAAGACTGAATTTCACAGTATTCTTCCAATATCTGCAAGCTTCAGTCGCACAAAAGCCTGGCGGCCTACTTTGGGCTATATCTCAGTTCTGAGAAGCCAGCCTTCAGCAGATAAGCTCACAAGGAACGAAGGAGATAAGGCTAGGAAAAACCCTACTTTGTAGCTTCTCCTTAATTTGGATATTAGTTTCTTTGCCCCCCTTGAAATCTCCCAGTCTTCCCAAGATGCCAGAAAGCCAGGCGAGCTGCATGGGGCAGTAATGTTCGAGAGGAGGTCAGGGCGCATTGCAAGCTTAGCTGAAATCATGGATGTGGGGAAGCAGCAGAGGCTTTTAAACATCTCTCTCTTCCCCCTCCCAGTCATATGGCCGGTCAGGGTTCCTCCATCAGCTGGTGTTATGACATCACCCCATTTCTCCCCCCCTCACCTTCTGTCGCCTTTTCCCAAAGCAGCCTATCTCCTTTTCTTCCATGTCTCCCTTCCCCTTCAAATTCCACGGATGAGCCAACCAAAAAGAGCAAAGGACCCTCCTCAAAATACCTCCCCCCCTTTCTTCCCTCCCTCCGAGAAGGCAGGACGGTTCTGGCTCCAGCCAGACTGGTGTTCCACCCTTCACCTGGGCAGGAACATCTCTGCAGCCACTTGAGGCCAGCCAGCTGCTTAATGGAGGGTGGGTTTTTTTTTTGGGGGGGGGGGGGGGGGAGGAAAGAGAGGCAAGATCCTTTCCCTCTTTTTACACTGGAGGAAAAAAAAAAAAAGCAATCGGATGTCACACAGATGCTGCCAGCCCAGTGGCACTGAAAGGGGGGGGGGGGGGGGAAGCTTTTTTAAAAAAAAATTGTGAAACAATAAAAGGGGACTACCCCCCCAAGCCCAAGGCACCCAATGGGGGTGGGGGGGGGGAGAAACCTGTTGGTTTATCCCCCCCCTCCTGCAGGGGGGGGGCTTCCAAAGCGAGGGTGGGGTGGGAGAGGAATCTACTGGATCCTTCCAAGCAGGGTGGGGCTCCCCCAAGCAGCGGAGGCAGAGAGAGAAAAGACGACATTGCCAAAAGCCACTTTGCCCTTCCCAATGCGCCAACCTCACCACCAGGACGGCGGGGCTGGGTGGCATTTCCCGACAATGGCACGACGACTTCTTCTTTTTTTTGGGTGGGGGGGGGAAAGGAAAGAGAAAGCAAGGATTCTTTTTTTTTTTAAAAAAAGATCAAAGCAGCCTTCCCCAGCGGGGAGCCAGATTCCAGCTCCCATCCTCCCCAGCCTGGCAGCCTGCCACCCCCCTGCTTGGGGGGGGGGGGAGGCTTATAGACGAGCCTTCACGCCTGCAGCCCCCTCCCCGGTTTTTTTTTAAAAGCTATATCTTTCCTCCTCCCTGCCCTCCTTTGGAGACCCTCCCCAATTCAAAGGGCTAGAAGCGCCCCCCCCTTAGAAAGCCCGGTGGGTGGTGCGAGGGGGCAAGGCCTGCAGATGGAGGGGGGGGTCCCCGACCCCATGGTAACAGCCACCCCACCCCACCCCACCCCATTTTCCTTCCCTGTCCCCCTCCCCTCTAAGGTGTGCTGCCGGGGGGCCTCACCGCTGAAGATCATGGCGGCCGAGGCGCCCATGACGGCGAAGAAGGGGGAGTACTCGGGGCCGGCCGGAGCATTGACCATGGTGGAACCGGGTGAGGGGCGAGGAAGAGGACGACGACGACGACGACGGTGGTGGTGGTGGTGGTTGCTGCTGCTGCTGCTGCGACGCCGCCGCGGTCGGGGAACCTGAGGGGGGGGAAAGGAGGGGGGTTGCTGCTGACACTGCTCGGCTTCTCTTCCGCGCTTTCGCTGCGCCGCCCGGGAACGAGGCAAGATGGCGGGGCGGCGTCAGCGGCCTGGGCGGTGGTGTCGACACGACGATAGTCCTGCGCGGACGGTCCTCCGCTGCGCCCGCCGCTGGCTCTAAATACCCAGCCGCCGCAGAACAAAATGGCGGTGGAGCCCTGCGTCACGTGGCCCGCCGCTGGCTCCGCCCCTCCTCCTCCTCCTCCTCCGCCCCCCTCCCGCTCATACTGCTTTCCCTTCTCTTCCGCTTCTCGGCTGGGTTTTTTTTTTTTTTTTAAACATGGAATATACCAAAGTGAGGTTTGGGGTGGGGGAACACGTCTTTGGAAAACGGAGACAGCCGTTTTGAAAGCGCAGAGGGCGGTTTTTCTTACGCTTATATCGTGTAAAGGAAGGAAGGGGTTTTATTGGGCTGTCGTCCGAGCGATGAAATGGAGCGCGGAAGATCGGAGGGGGACGGGACTTGGCCTTCTGGGCTCCCCTTCGCTACGACGGGGGTGGTTTTCACCCCGACAAGGCTCGTCGGATCTAGTCTGAACGCGCTTGAGGATTTTCCCCCCCATCCTGATGAGCGTGATTCAGCGCTGATTAGCATAAGGGGCGGAGCCAGTGAGAGAAGGGCGGTCCTCTTTCTGTTCCTCTTCTGTTTTTTTGCAAAACTGGCTGGATAATCCGGATATATCAATCGGGATTTAATCGGCAGTAAATCAAGATTAGCATTTATATGATTCGTTTCTCTTGGAGCAACTATAGGAGGAAGATTCTGCAAGCAACTTCCTGGCACCCTGTTATCTTCCAGATGTTATTTGGGCTACAGTTCCCCAGAAGCCCCCAGCCTGAACATCTGGGTTAAGGAAAAGACTGATTTAAAAAAGTTAAACCTATTTACTGTGTCAGGAGCACAGGGTGGGGTTTTGCTTCGTTATATTTCCAAATGAACAATGCAACAAAATGTGAGGCCCTAAAACACTCCCAGGCAGGTTGCAATTCTACACAAAGCATGGCAATCTTTAAATAAATAGAGCCTGTCAAAGAAGGTCCTTGATTGGACTGTTGGTTGGAATGTATGATGGCCTTGGAGAAAGTGACTTGTGACCCATTCTTCCAGTTACCACCTTGCACCACCTAATGGTTACGTGTTGCAATTCAGCTGCTTGCAACTGTTTGAAAGGCTGGAAAATGCCTTTCTTCTGAGGGCTCGATTTTCCAGCTGGGAGAACTCCGGTGCAAGGACACAGACAACTGCTTGGAAGCTGGTTTATTTTTCAGGAAGGCAAGAGATAGCAAGAAGTCTGCATTCCTGGGGCTAGCCATCTTTGTATAATAAACCCCTGATTTTTATACCTTTTCTCCTTTTGTGTGTGTGTGCTTGTGTTTGTATTTCTTAATGTTTTAAATCCTGTCAGGGGTTGTCTTCATTTCCGCCAGAGGGTAAACTCCGCGGGGTGGTTTGATTGGATTATCAGTTTCATCCTAATGTTTTCTTATATTTGTTTTGTGGCAATCTCCTGTCTGCTATGGAATTTATTTTGTGTCTTTTGTCTATTTGTTTTGCTGATTTGGCATGATCTGTTGTTTGTAAGGGATTTCTTTTTCTTGTTTCCCTAGCTTTCTTAATTACTTGGCTTTTGTCTAGGGGGCTTCTTTCAATACCTTTTATTAAATCTCTTTTCCTATGCAAGTTTGTTTTATGGCTGGCCTGATGTTCCCTTTGGGCTTTTCCTGCTTGGGTGTCACCACTGTCCTCATGAAGTTCCCTTTCCACACAACCAAATTGCATTTATGATGGTTGGAGGGTCTTGCAGTGGCTAATCACAATTTGTAATCTTCCCAGCTGACAAACAAAGTTAACTGGGGAAGTTGGACTTCCAGAATAGAATAGAATAGAATAGAATAGAATAGAATAGAATAGAATAGAATAGAATAGAATAGAATAGAATTCTTTATTGGCCAAATGTGATTGGACAGACAAGGAATTTGTCTTTGGTGCATATGCTTTCCATGTACATACAAAGAAAAAAAATACATTAATCAAGAATCATAAGATACAACACCTAATAGATTACTAAATAAGCAATCAAATCATACTAGGAAACAAACAATATATGCATTTGTAAAGATACAAGCAACAAGGTTATAGTCATAAGTGATAAAAATGGTTCTGGGAACTGAAGTCCACATACATTAAAGCATACTGGCCAGGGAATTCTGGGAACTGAAGTCCATAAATGTTAAAGCACCCTAACTAGGGAAGTCTGGGAATTGCAGTCCATGCCTCTTGTATAGGGATGGGCAATTAATTTTCTCCAGGGATCACATAAAAAATTGGGCCTCTTGTTGGGGCAGGCTGAATAGTGCTGCAAAGGTATCTAGGCATGAATACATCCACATACGTAAATTTTAAAAAATGTTGCTTTCAAAATAAAAGCAATCCTTGCATGCTGGACAGGGACAGCCAAAGAATCAGATGTGGCCTGGCTGGGGAATTCTGGGAATGGATGTCCACACATGTGAAAGCCTTCTGGCTGGGGAATTCTGGGAGTTGAAGTCCAGACCTCTTAAAGTAGAGAAACACTAAAACCCCGGGGTTACATTGGTATTTACATGGCATTAATTAATATACCCCTTTTTGGTTGATTATCTTGCGGTTCAAATTTGGTGCTTGGCATCTCAGCATTCAAATTCCCCAGTTCTGTGGATTGGCTTTACAATAAAACTGGAAGAGATGCCTTCCTTGCTTTATTATTTCTGTATCTCCCTTTTCCATTTTGTATCCGCTACAGATTTTTCCTCTGGCTCTCCTGCTGCGAGAGCTCCCATCTATCCTTAATCCATCACTGGAAGCAGGCAAGCTGCTTTTAATACTGAGCGGATGGTATGTGACCATTCTGTAGTGTAATTGGTGGATCATTTGGACTCACTGCATGAGAGACAGACTGTGCCAAATGCTGGCAGTGGGGGTAGGGGGGTAACCTCTTTTGGATTGTTTAACGTAAAGTACGACGTCGAGGCGAGGCGCTTGCAAAGCAATGCTTCCGAACCATTGCTCTGTGCTTCCTTTACATGTGCTAAAGAGAAGTGTTAACATGGACATATGTTATCTCTCTATTGTGACCTGGATTGCCCCCATTACATAGACGAAGGTTTCTCAATCTTATCAATTTTAAGAGGCGTGGACTTCAATCCCCAGAATTCCCAAGCATACTGGCCAGGGAATTCTGGGCATTGAAGTCCACACACCATAAAGTGGCCGAGAGTGAGAAATACTGCTGTCCTTCATAATAGAAGCAGCAGCATCTTAAATCGTCATTCTTTCTAAACAAGCAAACAATGATTCGGGAATAAGGAATAAACAGAGGCTGGGAAATCTCAGAATTGTCCACAATTGCTCTTTGCTTTCTTTCCAGGCTGATTGAAGGGCATTTAAAGGTTATCAGAGGTTTTCTCACAAGAAAAGAAGTAATGGGTGTGTGGAGACAGGATTTTTTGCAAACATTCCTGATGAGATTTGGATTATTTTAAGAGTAGAGCCCTGTATTTCTTCAATACAGAAAGATAGTTCTCATACTGCCGAGATCTGCTCCATTTTTTATTACTCCAGTTGGTGTAAGACTGGTATTTCACTGAAAGATTGACATGACGTAGAAGCGCAGAAGTTAGATAAAAGAGTAGTTATGTTATTGGCACAATTCATTTTTCTTTTCACCGTTCGTAATTATTTTTCAGGTTTAACACTACTGAATGTCGATTGTTTTTATGCACGGCCATATTCCTTCGCTCAGAGTCTTGATGTAGAACACCCAAAGTTGTTTAGAGGGGGCCGTTCTATGGGTTCTGTCAAATAAATACATGATTTCAATCACGGGGGAGAACCAAGAATAATTGGCTAAAAGGTCAATGGAAATAGGTTGTTTTCGAACCTATGTCATGCGATGTCCCAATTTTTCCGAGCAAACTTTCAGACTTGTGAACTTTGCCAACATAAAGCACAATTTAGTTATTGATGTCCCACCTTTATGATTTTTTTACAAACAACTCAAGGCAGCAACCATATCCAACACACCTTCCTCCTCCTATTTTCCCCACAACAATAACCCTGTGAGGTGAATTGGGCTAAGAGAGATTACCTCAAGGTCAACTTTCATGCCTATAGGGCAGGACCAGGAAATGATGGGATTTTGACTTATATGTTTAAAAATCCTAATATCCGTAGAATCCAAATATCAGGGTTTTGTTTAGTAGAGCTTGAGACTGTGGATTTCTTTTGATACTCAAATGCTCATGATTCCTTAGTCATATCTGTGGAGGTTCTGAGCAAAGAGCTTGACAATGTCTAAGAGATATTCAAGCAAACTATCTTGTTCAATCTTGGAGGTTTCCCTCTTTAAAGCAAGCAAACAAACAAATGGATTAAAGCAAGATTTCCTGATCTGCTGTCCTTCAAATGCATGGGAAAATCCAGTGCAGTGTTTCTACAGTTGGTTTTAAAAACCCGTGGTATGAACGCTAGAGCAATCTGATATGGGGACAAATCTGATGTAATACTAAAACATCTGGAATTGCCATATGTTTCTATTTCCAGCCGTTTAAAAGCATGTTAGAAGATTGAGATAGTTCTCTATTAATATTGCCTGGGTCCCTTCTTTCTTCAGTTCCAGTTCATTATTGTCACTAGGATTTTATTAATTTTTGTTTTTTTACCGGATACTCACTATATTATGGTTCATCGCATGGCCAGCCAGATGTTCATATTAGATTTGGCGTTTTTCTTATTTTGACGGTTGGTTGCACAGTCAGCCAGATATTTTAGATATTTGGATTTGGCATTTTTGTCCACCTATCGAGTCCTTCCCAAGGACCTGGGATAGGCAGATGTGGCTGTTTGATGGTGTTAAAGATATCGTTGCAAGATGTGAGCTGTTCCAAGTCCAGGCGCCTTTTTTTGCAATTGACGGGCTGTGATTTTTGTCAACAATTATTATTTTCTCCTTGGTTCATTACCTGGGAGTTGTTACATTTGATCAGGGCTGCCAGGTTGCACAATGGTTTTGTTAGAGCAGCATAGCAAATGGTAGAAGGGTCAATTCCAAACCTCTTGCTGTAATCCCAGCACAATTCAGCTGCTGCTGTTGATGCATTGAGGGG